GCTCAGTGGTTGAATGCCACTGAGTTCAGTCCCCAGCAAACACTCCCCCCCCCCCCACCCTACCCCCCACCAAAAAGTGTTTTCAGTTCCAAAGTTTCCATTTCTTGCCTATTTTTCTCTTCTCCTTTATTAGTTCATTGGATTTATCTGGGTGCTAAATTGATATGCACCCAAACTCATTGGTTCAATTATTATCTGTATCCTGCACTAACCTCTAGAAAATTTTTTTACTGTTGTAGGGCAGAACTCAAGGAGGGGAAAAAAGATGGCATGTTTTTGTAGTTTTCTTGAAAAAAATAGCATTCGTTTGTTTACATATTTTGATTGCTATATCACTACAGCAGCACTGTTGGGTAGTTGTGATAGACAGGATGTCTCTCTTAGGAGGTGGAATGTCAAAGAAGGGCTTTCTGTTCTGCATTGTTTGCCTATGTCTAACTGGTTTACTTTCTGATTGGATATGGGGCAGCAATATTTTGTCTATTTGGTTTATATTGTACACTGGAAGAGAATAATGCTTAAATCCAGCTAATAAGATTTCAAGTTTGTTATATTTTTAAGTACATGAATGCATTTTAAAAGTGTTCATTAGCTAGTAAAGTACTAATAAGTGATCAAGTTCTCATTTGTTTTCGTTTAGTATTTAACATTTGGAGTTCCTTTTAAGCTTAAAAGTAAACTTTCTCATGACACATTTTCCAGCACCTATATTTAGAAGAGATGCAGAGTACTATTGTAAAATATTAGCTTTTAGACTTTGTGCCTGTTTCTCTACAGGGGATATGAAAGGTGAGGTGTATCCATTTGGCATAGTCGGAATGGCCAATAAAGGGGATTGCCTGCAGAAAGGGGAGAGTGTCAAGTTCCAATTGTGTGTCCTGGGCCAAAATGCACAGACTATGGCCTATAACATCACGCCCCTGCGCAGGGCCACAGTAGAGTGTGTGAAAGATCAGGTAAGTACAGCATCTCTGGATATGAATTTGAACCTCTGAACTAAAACCTTGACATTTATTTGATTTTATTTTCTTTTTACTAATTCGGGGTAGCTTATAAAAATAGGAAGGAAAATCAAAAGAAAGTGACTATTAGTAAAGAGAAAATAAGAGTGATTATTCATAACTAATACTGTATATTGCGGAAAGTAAACTTGAAGAGTTCCAGAGTAAAGGAGCTATAAGAGTTTTTGAAATTTATTTCTTCTTAGTATTTTATATATTATAATAGGGTTCAATATCTATATTCATACATGCACATAAAGTTAATCAAGTTCATCCCCCAGAATTATGAGATTTTTGTACAGTTAATGCTCTGAGCTTCTTTTGCAGACCACCCAAAGAAATTGTGTTTAGAGTATTTGTGAAATAAGCTTAGGGGAGTTGGGTGTGGTGATACACACCTATAATCCTGGCACCTTGTGAAGATGAGGCAGGAGGATCACAAGTTTGAGGCCAGCCTCAGTAATTTAGGGCCTTACTAGGCCCTAAGCAACTTAAACCTATCTCAAAAAATTAAAAGGGCTCTGAATGTGGCTCAGCAGTTAAGCACCTGTGGATTCAATCCCCAGTACCAAAAAATAAATAAGCTTAGGAGAAACAAAACTAGTCCTATTACTGAGATCTTTGGTTCATCCCTTAGAATTCTTGGAGGAAACATTTTTCAACATCAGTACAGTGAATATAACAGTTTTCGTGGCTAATATCCATAAATCTAACTGATTAAATCTAGAAGGGATCAAAATGAGTTATAGGTTTAAGTAAGGGACTCCCTAGTGATTTTACTAATTCAAAAAATTAGTTGATAATAATATATAAAGAAACAAGGCAACCTTTGTTTCAGACAAAGATTTATTTCAGAATGGCAGTGATTGTTTTTTTTCCCCTTCCTCCCCCCCCCCCCCCCAGTTTGGCTTCATTAACTACGAAGTAGGAGATAGCAAGAAGCTCTTTTTCCATGTGAAAGAAGTTCAAGATGGCATTGAGCTACAGGCAGGAGATGAAGTGGAGTTCTCAGTGATTCTTAATCARCGTACTGGCAAGTGCAGTGCCTGTAATGTTTGGCGAGTCTGGTGAGTTTTTTTATTGTAATTAGATTAGTAATCACCTAGGGTTCTCATAATTTCTGTTGTCTATCCTTTTATCACTTTTTTTTTAACTTTGCCATTCTGGTTTTATTCCCTGYTCTTTTTGCCATTTTTGGTTATGTATTCATGCTTTTTACCTGTAGTATTATCTTCTTTTCCTCTAGTTTTCATTGCTTGGACTTAACATTCATAAACCTGGGCCAGTTGAAACACTTAATTAAGTATTATGCTATGCTAGCATTATATATGGTAGATGTTAAATATAAAAAGTTTATGTAGTCCTTGTTCTTAAAGAATTCTGCTTATTTGCTTATTTCTTCCATCAGGACATTTCCAGGATATATGGTGCTTGAAATTCTAATTTTCAAATCTTTCTCATCCTGATTCTCCTTTTTTTTTTTCTTTTAAAYCTCAATGTTTTCACCATTGTAGGAACTGGGATTCTCTAAAACTCTTTGTTCATATCTCACTTTTCTAAGGTTTTCTACATCAACTAGTTTGTTTTATGCATCTATGGAACTAACAAGTGTAGGATTGACCATCACTGAAATGATTCTTCCAGATCATACATAGTTGGAACTACTTGAATGGGGGGAGGGGATGCACACACAAACTGGTCTGTCTTGTATTGCCAGCATTCTAGATGAGGCAACAGTCCCCATTAAAAGTGAGTCATTTAAGCAATTAAGTAGGAAACACGCTCCCCTCCAAATACTTTCTTCCTACCAAGTGTTGATTGTTCTCACCTTACAGTGAGGGCCCCAAGGCCGTTGCAGCTCCTCGACCTGATCGGTTGGTCAATCGCTTGAAGAACATCACCCTGGATGATGCTAGTACTCCTCGCCTAAAGGTTCTTCTTCAGCCAAGGGGACCAGATAACTCAATGGTATGGTTCCACAAAAGGCTTGAGGGAGGACAACTGACAGACCAACATACTATTTGAAGTCTTATTTCAACATAGGTTAGAGAACTTAATGAAGCAAGAAGCTTCGGTATTGCTTATAACTAGTTTGGATTCTCTACATGTTGGTTTAGCCCCTAATCAAGAAGCACAGTTCTTGCTTTTCTTAATACTTTCTACATAGCTTGGATAATGGTCAAGAGCACTTAAAAATGGATTTTCCTCCTCTAATAAAGAATTGGTAATGGTTGAAGTGATTAAAAATAATACTTAAGTAGCACGAGTTGTGAATGTACTTATTTTGGTGCACCAAAGTTATTAATGGCAATTTTTATTTTTTCACAGGGATTTGGTGCAGAAAGAAAGATTTGTCAAGCTGGTGCCATTGACTAACCACATCCATAAAGCACATCATTAACCCACTATGATCAAGTTGGGGGGATTCTGGTGAAGGGTTCTGAATATCTCCCTCTTCATCCCTCCCAAAATCTGGAATACTTATTCTATTGAGCTATTACACCAGTTTTAACACCTTCCTCGTGTTATGTTTAAAAAAATAAATAAATTTAAGAAACCATTTTAAAATTATGCACAGTTGCAGCCTGGAAAACTTAAGGTGGCGCCTTATAGTATCAATTTTAGGAGCTTTATTTGGTGCATTTTACACAACTGGTAATTGCAAAATCCACTTCGCCTGTGTAAGTGAAAAATACAGACTGTTATCTTGTTGGCCCTATGAAATTCTGCACTTGATATTTAGTATRTACTCTACCTTCATTACTTCTGGCAAGATGTTCTGCCTTAGCACTCAGTTTCAATCTTTTCCTTTTCTTTCCTGTTCATTATGCTTTAATTCTGAGGACCATATGAGGGTAGGATATATTACCTTTTAAAAAYTACAAAAATTTGTATAGGCAAACCATTTTCTTAAGTTGATGGMCAAATGTTAAAATGTTATTTTTCATATCATTTATAATCTTGTCACAATCCACTTAACAAAGTTTGGTTAGATTTCAGTGAAAATTGTCTTCCAGAGTATTTTTTTTTTCCTGAGATGGGGAGAAAATAACTTTACTACAATTAGTATATATGGTGCAGAATTTCGTGCAAATGAAGTGTGCCAGCAGTGTGATAATTTGAACATATTTAAACAAACAAACAAAAAGGACGAATGCACAAACTTGCTGCTGCTTAGATCACTGCAGCTTCTAGGACCCAGTTTCTTTTGCTGATTTAAAACAAAATGAGAAAAAATTAATAAATAAAAAAGTTGTGCCTGAAATGAATCTTGTTTTTTTTATAAGTAGCCGCCTGGTTCCTGTGTCCTGTGGAATACAGGCACTTGACCCTTGGTGTAGCTTCTGTTCAACTTTATATCACGGGAATGCATTGGTCTGATTTCTTGGCCCTCATCTTAAATTGGCCATATTCAGGGTCCCTGGYCAGTGGACTGAAGGCTTTGTCTAAGATGACAAGGGTCAGCTCAGGGGATGTGGGGGAGGGCGCTTTTATCTTCCCCATTGTCATTTGAGGTTTTGATCTCTGGGTAAAGAGGCCATTTATCTTTGTAAACAGAAAATATTTTGCTTTCTGCCGTTTTCTGTTAATGGTGAAAGAATGGAAGTGAATAAAGTTTTACTGATTTTTTGAGACACTAGCACCTAGCGCTTTCATTATTAAAACGTTCTGCGTGGGAGGGGCGGGTCTGGGTGCGGCCTGCCGCGTGACTCCTGGGTCGAATGCCCACGTGGCTGGGGCGGGGCTTGGGCGCCCGAGGCGCATACTGATTGCGTAGCGGGCGGGGCCGGAAGTGCCGCTCCCTGGTGGGGGCTGTTCATGGCGGTTCCGGGGTCTCTAGCATTTTTCCCGGTGGACGTCCTAAATCCGTCTGAAGCGGGGGCAGCGGAGCTTGAGGTAGGCCTCTGACGTTCAGGGCGTTGGGCTTTGGAGCATACAGGCTTCCCGTTCATGCCCGGTATGGAGCGGAATCAAGGAACCGGAGACAAAGGCCTTGGGCGGGGGTTCCTCCTTTGGGGCCTTACGTGGGGCGTTCTGTGGAAACGATGGGAAGGGGTCGCGGCCGGAGACCGCCCCAGGGCTGAGAAGAAGTACACAAGCAGTAGAAAGGGGGGGTTTCCTTTACCTTAAGCTAAGGGCGGAACCCAAGCACAGTGGAAAACTAGACTCGGGTGGGAGTAGCAAGAAGCCAGAAATCCGAAGCCCACACTAATCTGCAAGTATTTTTGTGTCCCTGAATCACTTTATGAAGTTAAGTGGAGGGGAACATGTATGGAATTAATACACTTCAAACTCTTGTTTTAGTTACTGTTGATTTTAGAAGCTTTGAAGTACAGTAGATTTAGCTTGCCACTTAATCTCAGTTGCCGGTTTCCCACAGGTTCTTGCTGGTGTGAAATGACCGAGTACAAACTGGTGGTGGTTGGAGCAGGTGGTGTTGGGAAAAGCGCACTGACAATTCAGCTAATCCAGAACCATTTTGTGGATGAATATGATCCCACCATAGAGGTGAGACCCAGTGGTAGTCTACCAAGTGACCCTAGCTCTAATAATCAGTTTTCCCCTTACCCATTTCCTTTATCCTTTGTAAGTAAATCAGAACAAAAAGTAATTTTAGATACTGCATTCAGTGATGCAATAAAGTAAAACTTTGTTGAGTTTATTAGCTGCTGAAGGTTTTCTTTAAAAATTTAGTTTACATCAGTTCTCAGTGTTGAATTTATTCAGTTTCTTTGTATATGGCAGCTCTGTTAAATAGAAACGCATGGAGCCAGGCATGATAGCCCGCCCCAGCCACTTGGGAGGCTGAGACAGGAGTATCACAGGCTCTCAGCCAGGGCGGGCTACATAGCAAGACCTGTCTCACAGTGTGTGTGATAGGGGTGAGGGGGTCCCGGGGATTAAGTAGAAATGCTTACCACAGGTAAATAGATTGATTTTGTAGAAGAAACAGGATGGAGATAAAGAATTCACAGATCTGGATATTTTTCAATTCTCATTTCTTTGCTAGGAGAGGCTATTGAAAGTCAGATTTGAATTGGAGTAGAAACAACTTGAGATTTTGAGTCACTGTGCCTAGGATTGCAGGCCCCGTTTAAAGGTTATTTAGTTTTGTGATATTGAGGAAATCTCTTAACCTAATTTTCTGCATGTATTAAAATGCCATGAACTTTGTCCTGCCTACCACCCAAGAATATTGTGAAATATCAAATAAATGTTTAAATTATTTGTGAATGGTAAAGCATCACTTATTAATATGTACTTCAGGATTCTTTTGTTATCTTGGGAGTTCATGTTACAGATTGGCTTCAATAAGTGACATTTAAGACTCTTTAAACGAAAAATTTTGTAGTTGTGCAACTTAGAAATGTCTAAATGATCCTGCCGTGGCCCCATCTGCCAGCTGGCTACTGAATGTTTAATGCAAACTAATTCTGATATATTCACTGTTAAAAATTGGTTGAAATGTTTTCCAGAGTTTTATTTATTGAGGGGTAATTTACTTAAATAAAATACATAAATCTCGTGTGTGTAGCTCAGGTTATATTTGTATACACCCATGTAACCACCACTCAAACAACAATATAGAATGTTCCCAGTACCATAGAATAGTTCTTCCAAGTGTGACATTATTGAAGCACAAAATATTGCCATAAAGCCAAATTGGAAGTTTTTCACATTTTGCTTTTTCAGTAATGGGGACTGAACCCAGAGCCTGGTGCATGCTAGGCAAGTGCTGTACCACTAAGCTATACTCCAGCCCTTCATTTTGAGACAGGGTCTCACTAAGTTGCTGAGGCTGACCTTAAATTTGCAGTCCTCCTGTCTCAACCTCCCTAGTAGCTGGGATCACAGGTGTGCACTACCACACCCCACTAGAAGTATTTTTTTGTATGATTTTTTATATATATATATATATATATATATATATATATATATATATATATATATGTCTTTCTTTCTGAGAAATTAATTGTACCTTGTTTGGAAGCTAGGAATTTGATTCAGGAATATTTCCCAAAGGTACAGTCTGTTATGATGAGAAAAACATTTGTGGTATTGTAATCTCCCTGCAACAAAAGGTATTTGTATATTTAGTTATAMCACAAATGATTCATTATCCAGGGCTAGGTTAGTTATGTTTAGAATCTTAAAAGCAAAATAAACAGCTCAAGTAAAACCATCTAGTTCATAGTTTAGTAAAATACAGTATGAATGAACTTAATCTCTGTAGTTTTCCTAACTGCAATAGAGCTGTCATTTGAACTTATTTATATATTATATCTATGTACATATACTTATATATTACATCTGTGTACATATATAGATGTATTATATATTTCATCATACATATATATAGATATAAGTAAATATATGTAATAAATTATAAATCTAAACTATATATGTATATATACATACACAGATATATATATAGATATAGATATATATATATATATATAGATATATATATATATATATATATATACACTTTTTTCTCTATCTTTTCTAGAAACAGACTGGCCTCGTTTTCTGTTTAAGATTTGGAGCTTTTTCCTAAGGTGACATTAATACATTTGTGATTATATATTAACAGTTTGAGGGACAATTCAGATAAACAGAAATGGTTTTGAATAGTTGGCTTATTTATCCTTGACAGTAACATTGCATGCCCTGTGGTTTTCAATAAAAATTGAATTTCCCTCTCTCCCTGCCTCCCAACCCTCCATACTCCCAGGATTCTTACCGAAAACAGGTGGTAATAGATGGTGAAACCTGTCTATTGGACATACTGGATACAGCTGGACAAGAGGAGTACAGTGCCATGAGAGACCAATACATGAGGACAGGCGAAGGCTTCCTCTGTGTATTTGCCATCAATAATAGCAAATCATTTGCAGATATTAACCTCTACAGGTACTAGGAACATTATTTTTTCTGAAAGGATGATCTTAAGTGTGTTCTTCTGAAGTTTTGTGGGAGAATGAGGATACCTTACTTAGGGAAGATACAGCTTTTTAATTATGGGAAGAGTTGGTTTTAGGTCGTTTGACATTAAGATTCTGGGGTTTTTACTGAAATACTGGAATTCTGTATAGTATACTGTTACTGTAGTGTTTGGTAATATATAAATGAGACTTGCTACTGTTTGACAATGCATAATTGAGACAGTTCAAGTAAAGATCATAAAGGAATTTCAGAGAAGTGTCTTTTTGGAAGAAACAGACAAAATGATAGGAAGAAACAAATAGGGTATAGATCAAAAATGGAAGAAAGTCAAAGGAGCATAAAGATGGACTTTCTCTCTAGAACCATAAAATTTCAAAGCTAAATTGGATTATAAAAATTTCTAGTGCAACGTTCTTATTTTACAAAATTAAAGAATTCAGAAAGTGGTTTATTGGGTTTTTGGAGTTGCACTGTTAGTAGACCCAGGCCCAAAAATCCAGGGCTCCTTTTTCATAGCTCAATATTTAGGCAGAAAATATAATGGTTAAGAATATGGACTCTGAATAGGTTGAAATCGAGCTTCATCATTTATTAAGTATGTGACTTTGGGGCATACTACTGAATCTGTGTGTCCTGTTTTCTTATCTGTAATGAGATAATGGTATCTACCTGTTAAAGTTGTGAAGATTAAACAAATTRAAAAGAATGTAAATCACTGGGCACCGCGGCTGGCGAATGCCTGTAATCCAAGCAGCTTGGGAGGCTGAGGCAGGGGATCGCAAGTTCAAAGCCAGTCTCAGCAAAAGCAAGGTGCTAAGTGACTCAGTGAGACCCTGTCTCTAAATAAAATACAAAATAGGGCCGGGGATGTGGCTCAGTGGTAAAGTGCCCCTGAGTTCAATCCCCAGTACCCACCACCCCCCACAAAAAAAGTATGTAAATCACTCAGAAGAGTACTTGGCCCATAGTAAATACTTTGTAAGTGGTCTGCCTTGAGTCCTGGCTTTTTCCCCCCAATTTGTGAAGATATTTGCTCTCAGAAGCAAACTGATCCACAACTGAATTCAATGTTTTGTTTTGTTTTTTTCCTAGACCTTCTTTACTTCCCGTTTTCCTTTTCTCTGGAAGTACTCTTAGTATCCTCAGCTCTCTGTATCTGAATGTTCCACATCCTCAGATTCAACCAACCTTGGAAAAAAATAGCTTCTGTACAGAACATCTATAGACTTGTTGTCATATTATCATTCCTAAACAATATAAACAAATATGTTAAATAGCATTTATATTGTATTTTTATCAGTAGTTTAGAGATGACTTAAGTATAGATGAAAGATGTACATAGATTATATGCAAATACTATACCATTTTATATAAGAGATGATCATCATGAAATTTTGGCATAAATTGTGGGTGTATCCTGGAACTAGTTTCCCATGAATATCAAGGGATGACTGCACTTAAAAAGTGCCCAACTTTTGGCAAGCATCTAATAAATATTCATTGAATTTCTAGAAGTCATTTTCTTTTTCCTTAGAWTTTTCTTCTACCTTACATTTTTCTATCTGTGCCCTGCCCTAGTCAAAAGAGTATTTAAAGCATCTTGTAAAAATGCCTGTATAGCAAGATAAACTAATGAAACGGGCTTAAGTGAGGCAAAGCGAAAATAAAGAGGAGTTAGGGATGAGCTTATTTTGTAACTGTATTTGAAGCTCAGTGACCTTGAAGAGTTAGACTACAAATTTGTCAGCTGTTGTGAAAAGAGAAGCTAAAAGATGCAGGATCTGCTGAAAACAAATCAGTTGCTCAGAAGCAGCAAAATTATACTGACACCAGAAAAAGAAATTGCTCTGATCTTGAAAGAGTGTGGTTTAATGTAAAGAAGAGTAGTAACCTGACACAGTGACATGTTCCAGGTACTTTAGGTTGTCCTGTAATATCTCTTAACATAAGCTACTACCATCACACCTATAAATAGTTCTCCAGACAGCCAGTGGAATGCAGTTTAGGTACAAGATTTTGTTATCCAAGCTAGAGTTTAGAGCAGTGGTGCAGTATGGTAGCCACAGCAAAATGTGGCAGTTTATATTCAAATTAAAATGAAGTAAAATTTGAAAATTWKCTTCTTGGTTGCATTAGAAAATGAGATAAAGTGCTCAATAGCTACATATGACTGGTGACTACCATGTTTAACAATATAAATAGACCATTTCCAACAGCACAAAAAAGTTTTATTGGGCAGTGTTGGTGGAGAGAATCTGGAGCAATAACTTCCAAACTGCTATGTGGTAGGTCTTAGCATTGTCACTGAAGAGAGTGCTTGCTATCTTTGGGAGTCCCAGATTTCTTCAGTCCCCCAACTCCTTTATTAGAATCAGTCTGGTGTTTTCTCATTCATATCTTAGATTTGAAACTATAAATTTGTTTGAGAAAACGATTTGGGTGCCTCCTGTCTTCAAAGTGGATTATCTATTCATTAAATCTTGTCATTCCCCAGGGAATGTAAAAAAATTTAGTGGCTTTATTTTTTTATACTTCAAACCTTAATCTAGAGTATGATTTCTAGTGACAGTTAATCCAGAGTCAGTGTCTTTGGAGAATCCATGAGCCGAACTAGGATGTACATCAGGACACACATAGAACAGCCATCCATTTCTATTAGAATATGAACTAGATTTACAACTTCCCTATGGCTACCACACCAAGTCTAAATCAATCTCCTTGATATACAAGGTCTTGTATAAGTGGTCAAAAAAATGTGAAATTAAATACTAGAAGCTAATAGGGCCATATAGAACTTGCCAATTTCTCTTTTGCCTTACCATTCTATTCCTTCTTGAAAGTTTGTTTTCCTTACGTTGTTATGACATATTCCCTGTTTTAGGGAGCAGATTAAGCGCGTAAAAGACTCAGACGATGTACCTATGGTGCTGGTAGGAAACAAGTGTGATTTGCCAACAAGAACAGTTGACACAAAACAAGCCCATGAATTGGCCAAGAGTTATGGAATTCCRTTCATTGAAACCTCAGCCAAGACCAGACAGGTATGGTAGGGCTTTGAGCATCTTTGCAAGAATTTGTTAAGATGTGATTCACATTCCTTGTTTTAGATTTCTAATTATATCCTTTTGTTGTTAATTTTCAGTTTAAACCCAAAATGAATTTACCTAATGTTCTAGTATGACATTTTTATTCCTGCATTAACAGGCACRCATATTTCTAGTGAAGACCCTTGATTTAAAATATTTATGAACATTAGCCCTTTTCCCATCAGCACCAATCACTGTTAGGGCTTAAGCCCTCCTGAATGGAATCATTAGATCTGGTAGTTTTCTGTGTGTCTCAGTGTTACCCTTTTTCCTTTGCTGGAATCTGTTTTTACAAAATATGCTATTTGTATATCAGCCTGTGAATGTACTAAACTTGGTGTCCTCTAAATCACCCTATTTTATCACCTGTGAATTGGTAATTGGAATTTTTTTAAAATGTTTTTTAGTTGTAGGTTGGACACAATATCTTTTTATTTATCTATTTTTATGTGGTGCTGAGGATCGAACCCAGCATCTCGCATGTGCTAGGCGAGTGCTATACTGCTGAGTCACAACCTCAGCCCAGTAATTGGAATTTACATCCCTCTTAAAGAAGTATAAATGAGAAAACTTATAACTTGCATTGTGTTAGTTGAGCTGTCCTTAGATTTTCTTTCTTCTTTCTTTCCATAGGGTGTTGAAGATGCTTTTTACACACTGGTAAGAGAAATACGCCAGTACCGAATGAAAAAACTCAACAGCAGTGATGATGGAACTCAAGGTTGTATGGGGTTGCCATGTGTGGTGATGTAACAAGGTGAGTGTGTGATTTGATTTGACATATAACTTTGACATAATTGTAAATGTTATTTTTTAGCATTAGGCAGTTTGGAGGAGTGTTAGTGTTACTGATTCTATTGTTTGGTATTCTTTTGTTTTTGTTACTAAGAATTTAACCCAATGGTGCTTTTACCACTGAGCTACATCCCCAGCCCTTTATTTTATTTTTTTATCTTCTGATAGCATCTCACTAAGTTGTTTAGGGCCTCACTCACTAAGTTGCTGAGGCTGGCTTTGAACTTACAATCCTCCTGCCTCAGCCTCCCAAGTCACTGGATTTACAGGCATGTGCCACAGTACCTGGCTAACTCTGTTGTTATTTAACTGAGAATTTCTGTGTAATTATAACTATCAAATATTTTCCTGATGGTACCCCTTCTGAGAGGACTGAAGTTTAACCTGTTTTTAAAACACGTAATTATTATACAGATAGCTTTCTATTTTTGATAATATTAGAAATTAGAAGAAACATATACCATGTTCTTAAGCCAGGAGTTTGAAGAATCACTGTATAGAAACTCAGTGAAAATGACATGGTGTGTGTTCTTTTTTTTAATAGTTATTTACAAAGTTCTGTCATCAAAAAAAGAGCCACTTTCAAGGTAGGACAAGTTTGGAAATGTATTTTCATTCACAATGAGTTCCTAAACTTGTTTTTCTCGTACTGTGTGTGCCACTTACCCACATTCCATTTTTATTTCAGCTGCACTGATACCCTGGTCCTGACTTCCCTGGAGGAGAAGTATCCCTGTTGCTCTCTTCATCTCAGAGAAGCTCCTGCTACTTCCCCAACTCTCAGTAGATGAACACAACAGTCTCTGCTTGAGAATTTCTCAGAATAACTACCTCCTCACTTGGTTGTCTGACCAGAGAAATGCATCTCTTTTTATTCCCTAATAGTTTTCCACCCTGGGTTCTCCCCTTAGAAACAAACACACCTCCATCACCCATGTTTTTCATCGAAAGCCAATTCATGCTCTGAAACAGAGAACCAAACTAGACATGAAATTCTGTTGAAAACAGTTCCTTGAGCGCTAAAGTAGCAACTGCTGGTGATTTTTTTTTTTTTCTTTTTTTACTGTTGAACTTGGACCTATTTTAGCTTTTGGAGAAATGTCATGAATTAATGTTTTGCCAAGAATATAATTAATGTTGCAGATTGGTTTATTTGTAATGTTATCAACTATAGTCTATAAACTGGCATCTGCACTGTATTCATAAATACTAAAGTGAATGCTAACTTTTGAGTCGATCCTACTCTTCTCATCTTTCATGAAATTAAATCCACCTTTCACAACAAAGTGCCTTTTTCCTAGAAGTGATTTGTAGACTTTCTTTATAATACTTCACTGGAATAGATGTGTCAAAAACCATTATACCTGAAAATGAATATCTATGACCCATCTACATTTAAGGAAAAGATATACAATAGCAGATGCCATTGTTTATGTATGTGAAGATGGTTTTCCAGAAGCCTATTTTGGAGCTTTCCCTGGGGAAAAATGAAACTGGAAGCAATTATGGATAATTTTACTTAATTTTTATCTTGTCTCCACTTTTTCGGTAGATTACTACCTATAAATGTATGTAATTTGTTTCTTTTAGCTTATTGATAATATCATGTTCAATGAACTTCCATTTATATTCATATTTGGGTCATACCAGAAAGCTCTACATTTGCAGTTATTCAAATATTATAACAATTTGGTGTAATGTTATTTTATAGCTATAATCAGTGATTTTCAAACCTCAAATACAGTATGTTAACAGATTACATTTTCACTGCATATCATAGTCTCTTAGTGATGTATGTAACTGCCCTCAATCCCCTTCTCACTCTACTCTCTGCCCCTCACCCCACAGCAGTAGGGGCTTGATTAATTATTTCAGTTGAGTAAAGCATGGTGCTAATGGACCGGGGTCACAGTTTCTAAACTTGAACAAGCCAGGTAGCATCACGCAGAGAAAAATTCCACATTTGCTCCCTGCACCAGTAACTCCAGCCAGTAGTTCTGTTGGATGCCTGCTGTTAACCCTGCAAGGAAAGAAGAGGTTAATAAGCATGAATCCTCTACCATGACTAGAAAAGTTTGGTATTCTAAGGAGATTCAGCTTAGAAGTTTTTATATTTCAACCTCCCCCCTCTTCAACTTGGAAACTAAGCCAATATTTTTTTCTCATTTTTTGAGAATGAGGGTGCCTCAAAAAATTGTTTTTAATTTATAATATTCTCTGAGGGGTTTTAAATAGATGGTGATAAATTAGTCTGCATAGTAGACAAAAAAAAAAAGCTGATGAATTTGTTCAAAACATAAAATAGCCTTTGGGTTGAAATTGCTGAGGAAAGAATAGAAATATAATTAATTATTAGGAGTATGCGGAGGAATGATATTTCCATTTATAGGTAATGCCTTGGGTAATTTTCCTTTCTTTTTTGGTGGCTTGGGGATCAAACCCAGGGCCTTACATATGCTAACCATGAGCTACATAGCCAGCCCCAGGAATTCTAAGGAAAAGTAGATTTGGATAACTTTTGATAAAGGCCTAATTCCAGAATGAACACTTAATGTTCTAATGTCTGAACATTTACTGAGGTTTTTGTTTTCTAATATGAATTTTCATTTATTAAGCAGACTCCACATTATCCGGAAATGAGTTCAAGGACAGTAGAAGAAACATATACTATGCCCAGATTATAATAAATTCAAGAGTTGTGCTCCTTAGTGCTAATGCTAGGAGCATTCACAGTAGGGTTGTCACCTACAAATGAAACTCTGTGCTGCTTTGTGTCTGCCCCTTTTGCTCTGTCATTTTCCTGAGGCTAGATTGAGACCACCTCACTTGAACTCTTATGTGTGTGTGTATGTGATAGCAATGTGAACCTAAAGAGTTTTTTAAATTTAATGTCAAATTAGGGAGAAAAATAGTTACTCCTTTTGGGCTGTAGTGGCCTTAGCCCTTGTATGTATGTATCTATAGTTTTCTTAGATATGTTGTAAGCACAGAAGTACAGAAATGGGGCCAAAATTCAGACTTGAAAATGTTCTTTAATAGCTTCTTAAGAAGTTGCACTTCGGTGTGAATTTTGGCGCGACAGAATGATATGCTTAAGAGTTAAAAGCTGAAAAGTTCAGTTAGTGTAGTATAAAACAGTTTTTAGAATATGTAATTGCTGAAAATAATTGTTTTACCTCAAATTCTCAAGGTCACTTTCCCCAATTTAAGTGCCTGGCCAGCTGTCATAAATTACATATTCCATTATGGTTTTGTTTTGTTTTTAAAGATTGCACATTGGAGAGTGTGAAAATAAGATGTTCTGCCTAAAGCTACCATACCTAATCTGTAAATGAATCTGTTAAATGCTGTATCTGCTCCAGGAGCTTACTATAGAATGTTAACTTGATAATACAGTACACTTAGTTATTCTTTAGGAATGTAATAGATAAAATTAATCTCTCTCTCTTTTTTTTTTTTTTTTGGTGGGCCCCCTGTTTAGTCTTTCATCATTCTTTAAACTGCTGTGAATTTTTTCATGACTTGAAAACAAGGATAAAGGAAAACTTTAAGAGATTGAGTTTTTCCCAATCTAGAATTCATGATCATAATCATATTTTGCTTTATATTTGCAGTCATGTACTCTTAAGCTGGCAGCTACAACCAAGAACCCCAAACTGGTGCATTCTACTTCTTATAATTCATCTCTGCTAATAAATTATAAGAAGCAAGGATAACTAATTAGGGAAAATATTTTTATTTGGGTAGTTTCTGTAAAGAAGGGACTAAAATTTCTTGTATTTTTTTTTTCATCTTTGCTGTTTCTTTAAGCAGTCTAATGTGCCATGAAATTATTTTAAGGTTCTTTTTTCTATAAGAATTATTTTTAAAGTGTTCTCATCAGATTAGTTGTAGATATATGTCAAAATATTACTGATTTTTAAGTCTGAGTATTGACCTGACAAGCAAGTATTTGAACTCCACTCTGGAGTGTAGGGTGGGTACCAATGAAATTTGTGTGACATTTTATTTCTGTGCCATCAAATATAGGTAACAATATCAGTTGTGCAATTCTGCTGTTTAAATGGGAACTGTTGGCCTCTTTGGCCCTAAATAAAAGGGCTACTTTAAGTTGATTATTTTATTGTAAATTAATCCATCCTAATTTTTTAAAATTTGGTTGAATATTTTTCTTGTTAAATAATGTTTAAAAAATAAAAACTGGAAGTTCTTTGCTTTGTCATTATTTCTTTTTTCCTACTGACATGTCTTTATAGAAAGCTAATATTAATTTTAGACTTTTGGATGTGACATTTGGACAGTATTAGAAGAGTTGAATTCTTCATTTTATTTCACTTTCTGTGGTTTTAGTTACTCCAGAGTCCTAAAATATCAAATGGAAAATTCCAGAAACAATTCCTAAGTTTTAAATGACACCCTCTTCTGAGTACACAGTGAAATTTCACACTACCCAATCCATCCCAACCAGAATGTGAATCATTCCTTTGTCCAGTGTTTCCACACTCTATATACTACCTGCTCTGTAGTCAATTATTATCTGTCTCTGATATCAGATCATCTATAAAGATATCACAGTAGTTAATTCAAGTAACCCTTTATCTGCTATTGGTCCCAAAGTACAAGAGTAGTGATGCTTATGTATTGTTAGTGATTATTCATTTAAATCTCTTACTGTGCCTAATTAATAAATTACCACAGATGTGTATGTATAGGAAAATATACATAAGGTAGAAATATAATGCTTGTATAGTACTATCTGCAGTTTTTAAGCATCCACTGRGGACCTGAGAATGTATCCCACAAGGGGCTCTATAAAATATGTTAAGGCTTGTTTTAAACTATTACCTTGGGGATGATTCATAGCTGTTTGTCAGATTCTCAGAGAAATATAAAGCACTTTAAAACTATCATTGAAATATTTAATGTATCTTTGCATTACTGCTTCATCTAGCAGTCTTGGCATAGTTGGAAAAGCTTTGGTCTAGGAACTACAGAACCTGGGTTCCAACTATAATTTTACTACTACAACTCATACTTTCTTCATTTACAAAATTGGGAGGGGTCAGTTAGGATATCTCATATTTTCCAGTCCTAAGAAGATAGAATGATTTCAAACCTAACCTTCCGTTAGCATAAATTCTGGAATATGGTGATTATGGAAATTTGGTTTCTTCTACCAAGGACATAATTCTCTTTCCTTAAAGTAGATATGGAGAGGGGTTATTAAATATTTGAATTCAGCTTGAGAAAAGTAAATTTAAGTGGCAAAATATTGTTTTCTAGATAGTAGAAAACACTGAAAAAAACCTGAAAAAGCTTATTTGGACCCTGAGGGGACCTCCTATGCATCATTGCTATTTAGCTTTCATTTCTCCTGACAAGCAATATTCAAGGTCATTAAAAGGCCAACATAGTTGCATGAGTTATTTGATATCCATAAATACATGAAAAGGGGGCCAAGAGGCTTTGCTAGTGATCATTTTGCAAACTGCCTGAGAATATTTTGCAATGCTTTAAAATAACTGGGCGATGAAATGTGGTAGTTTGTTTTTTGTTTGTTATTGTTTTGTTTTGGTTTTGGTGGTGAGGTTTCGTTTGTTTGTTTGTAGTACTATTGAACTTGCTCATTGCTGGGCGGGTGCTCCACCACTGAGCTACATCTCCAGCACTTTTAAATTTTTTGTTTTGAGATAGGGTCTAAGTTGTCCAGGCTGGCCTTTAACTTGTCATCTTCCTGCCTCTGCTTCACAAGTCACAGATTATAGTTATGCCTTACCATATCCCCCTGAACGTGAGTTTTTTTTTTCCTTAATAAAATAAAACTGGAATTATAGGAACACACAAAATAGAAATAACAAATGCTGTTTCTAGTGCTGATAGGAGCTTAAAATGGTTCAGATTCAGAAACTAGTGAATTGATCATTCTTCTTTGGAGACTATATCYTACACATGATTTACTTCACATTTGCACCAAAATCATTTATTAACTACTGGTGTGTGGTGAGGGAGAAGGGGTTATTTTCCAGCCTAAGAGAATAAACTCAGTCTCTTAATTAGCATGAATTCTGATTGTCATCAATTTATAGGAACCATATAAAGTAAAAATGGGTAGCACCTGCAATGTTGGAAGTTAAAGTGCTATTAAATGTTTCTAAAGATAGAGGCTGCCACATGTCTGATGGGGGAGGACAAGGTTGGAAACTTGCAGTTGCCTACCAGAGCTTTTAAATGCAGGAGCCTGAAATATTATCCAGGTTAGGAAAAGCAATCTTCTAGAATGGCTGCTGTGGAAGTGATAAAATTGGTTCTATTGATATTGTAGGAGCTTGAGATGCATGAATTATGTATACTATTTAAGTCTGAAAGAAACCTTGCACATAATTTTAAACATCTTTGTATAAATCAGTTCTCCACGTTTACATCTGTGGCCAAACATGCCTGATATGAATGTTTCATTAAACCACTAGTATGTAGTTTAAGAAAGACATTTTGAAAATTAAATCAAGAGATCTTATACATTGATGCTTGTTTTGCCTGTAAAATTTGAGGTGTTTGACATTTAATCTTAAAGCCCCAAATGCAATTCTAGCATGTTTGATATCCCCTGGTTGTAGCCACAAACCCTATCAAAATGTTTTTGTTGCATTGGGTTTTTTTTCTTTTTACTTATTTATTCTAATTTGTTATACATGACAGCAGAATGCATTTCAATTCATAGTACACATATAGAGCACAACATTTCATGTCTCTGGTATACACAAAATAAAGCACACCATTCRTGTCTTCATACATGTACTTGGGGTAATGAAGTCCATCTCCTTCCACCATCTGTTCCCTCCCTCTCCTTTCCCCTTTCTAAAGTTCCTCCATTCCTCCCATCCCCACCCCCACCCCCCAGCAGCATATTATGAATCAGCATCCTTAAACTAGAGAACTCATTTAGCATTTGGTTTTGGGGGACTGGCTAATTTCACTTAGCATTATATTCTCCAGCTCCATCCATTTACCTGCAAATGCCATGATTTTTATTCTCTTTTAATGCTGAATAATATTGTTTATTATTAATTATTATTAATATTCCATTGTGTATAAATATCACATTTTCTTTGTCCATTCATCTACTGAAGGGCATCTAGGTTGGTTCCACAGTTTAGCTATTGTGAATTGTGCTGCTATAAACATTGATGTGGCAGTGTCCCTGTATGTTCTGTTTTTAAGTCCTTTGGGGATAGACTGAGGAGTAGGATAGCTGGGGCAAATGGTGGTTCCATTCCAAGTTTTCTAAAGAATCTCCAGACTTCTTTCCATATTGGTTGCACCAATTTGCAGTCCCACCAGCAATGTATGAGTGTGTCTTTCTAATAGCTGCCATTCTGACTGGAGTGAGATGAAGTCTTAGGATAGTTTTGATTTGCATTTCTCTAATTTCTAGAGATGTTGAACATTTTTTCATATATTTGATCTAATGTATATCTTCTGAGAAGAGTCTATTCAGCTTCTTAGACCATTTATTGATTGGGTTGTTTGTTTTTTGGTATTAAGTTTTTTTAGTTCTTTATGTATCCTAGAGTTTAGTGCTGTACCTGATGTGCATGTGGTAAAAACTTGCTCCCATTCTGTAGGCTCTCTATTCACCTCACTGATTGTTTCTTTTGCTGAGAAGAAGCTTTTTAGTTTGAATCTGTCCCATTRTTGATTCTTGATTTTATTTCTTGAGCTATAGGAGTCTTATTAAGGAAGTCAGGGCCTAACCTGGCATGATCATTTTCTTTTCTTTTCTTTTCCTTTTCCTTTCTTTCTTCCTCCCTTTATTTATTTATTTAGGTTCTGGGGATTGAACCAAGAGTTTTACTACTGAGCTACATTCCCACACAGCCCTTCTAATTTTTTTTTTTTTTTAACTTTGAGACAGGGTCTCACTAAGTTGCTGAGGATAGTCCTGAATTTCTTTCTTTCTTTCTTTTTTTTTTTTTTTTTTTGATATTGGGGATTGAACTCTCAG